CCATGGGGAGACTTGTAGGCCTCTCCCCACAGGGGCCCCGGGAGGGAGGCTGGGGGTGGGGGGACAGGTCAGGTGGGGCAGGCGGGCAGGCAGGATGTGAGCGTTGTTTCTCCGTCGGGCCCACTGTTGCTGGGGCGCTGGTGTGTCCAGGGGACAGTCAGCTGCCGGTCTCTCTGAGAACCGGGCGTGGCCCAGGCGCACCCGATGCTGAGCCCAGGGGCTGTGCTGGGTCAGGGCTGGGACCCCAGGCCTCCGGGCGATCGCTGGGCCGGTTCTGTCCTTACGGCCTTCACTGACCCCGTGGGACAGTGCGTGTCAGCGTGGAGAGTGTGTGGGCCAGGCTGACCGGAGGAGGGCGGGAGCGGCCGCGCTGCTTGGCTGTGCTGGTGTGGCGTCTCGTGCACAAAGACAGGGACCCGACACGCTGATCTCACCACGTCGTTGTGCGCAAACCTCACTGCAGTTGTCAGGTTCGCTAACGTGGAAAAGTGAGGAAAATGCGCTGCCCTCAGCGTGGCTGGGCTGACCGCTGACTCGGCCCCTCCCTCCTGCCTCGGAGCCCAGGGGCCTGTTCTGTATGCCTGCCCCTGTGTGCCTGCCCCCTGTGTGCCTTCCCCCTGTATGCCTGCCCCTGTGTGCCTGCCCCCTGTGTGCCTTCCCCCTGTATGCCTGCCCCTGTGTGCCTGCCCCCTGTGTGCCTTCCCCCTGTATGCCTGCCCCTGTGTGCCTGCCCCCTGTGTGCCTTCCCCCTGTATGCCTGCCCCTGTGTGCCTGCCCCCTGTGTGCCTTCCCCCTGTATGCCTGCCCCTGTGTGCCTGCCCCCTGTGTGCCTTCCCCCTGTATGCCTGCCCCTGTGTGCCTGCCCCCTGTGTGCCTTCCCCCTGTATGCCTGCCCCTGTGTGCCTGCCCCCTGTGTGCCTTCCCCCTGTATGCCTGCCCCTGTGTGCCTGCCCCCTGTGTGCCTTCCCCCTGTATGCCTGCCCCTGTGTGCCTGCCCCCTGTGTGCCTTCCCCCTGTATGCCTGCCCCTGTGTGCCTGCCCCCTGTGTGCCTTCCCCCTGTATGCCTGCCCCTGTGTGCCTGCCCCCTGTGTGCCTTCCCCCTGTATGCCTGCCCCTGTGTGCCTGCCCCCTGTGTGCCTTCCCCCTGTATGCCTGCCCCTGTGTGCCTGCCCCCTGTGTGCCTTCCCCCTGTATGCCTGCCCCTGTGTGCCTGCCCCCTGTGTGCCTTCCCCCTGTATGCCTGCCCCTGTGTGCCTGCCCCCTGTGTGCCTTCCCCCTGTATGCCTGCCCCTGTGTGCCTGCCCCCTGTGTGCCTTCCCCCTGTATGCCTGCCCCTGTGTGCCTGCCCCCTGTGTGCCTTCCCCCTGTATGCCTGCCCCTGTGTGCCTGCCCCCTGTGTGCCTTCCCCCTGTATGCCTGCCCCTGTGTGCCTGCCCCCTGTGTGCCTTCCCCCTGTATGCCTGCCCCTGTGTGCCTGCCCCCTGTGTGCCTTCCCCCTGTATGCCTGCCCCTGTGTGCCTGCCCCCTGTGTGCCTTCCCCCTGTATGCCTGCCCCTGTGTGCCTGCCCCCTGTGTGCCTTCCCCCTGTGTGCCTGCCCCCTGTGTGGAGGGGGCGCGATTGCTTTGTAGGCTGCTTCCAACAGGGGGCTGGTGCCTTGGGCTCACTGCCCCCCTCACTGCCCAGGTGCCTTTTCCTGTGTCCCGCTGAGAGCCTGGTGTGCGGCCCCCCACGCATTCCCCTCTGACCTGCGGTGGCCTCTGACCTGTGGTGCCCTCTGACCTGCGGTGCCCTCTGACCTGCGGACAGGCCCAGGAAGTATCTGAATGCAAAGAGGCAGACTGAGGGGCAGGCAAGCCCCAGAGACCCAGCGCTGGAGCTGCCGGGGAGGGGGGCTCGGACCCAGCGCAGGGCCACATGGCTGCACACACAGCCCGGGGGGGAAGGGGGGCTGGGACTGTGCCTGCCCTTGTGTGCCTTCCCCCTGTGTGCCTGCCCCCTGTGTGCCTGCCCCTGTGTGCCTGCCCCTGTGTGCCTGCCCCTGTGTGCCTGCCCCCTGTGTGCCTGCCCCTGTGTGCCTGCCCCTGTGTGCCTGCCCCTGTGTGCCTGCCCCCTGTGTGCCTGCCCCTGTGTGCCTGCCCCTGTGTGCCTGCCCCTGTGTGCCTGCCCCCTGTGTGCCTGCCCCTGTGTGCCTGCCCCTGTGTGCCTGCCCCTGTGTGCCTGCCCCCTGTGTGCCTGCCCCTGTGTGCCTGCCCCTGTGTGCCTGCCCCTGTGTGCCTGCCCCCTGTGTGCCTGCCCCCTGTGTGCCTTCCCCCTGTGTGCCTGCCCCCTGTGTGGAGGGGGCGCGATTGCTTTGTAGGCTGCTTCCAACAGGGGGCTGGTGCCTTGGGCTCACTGCCCCCCTCACTGCCCAGGTGCCTTTTCCTGTGTCCCGCTGAGAGCCTGGTGTGCGGCCCCCCACGCATTCCCCTCTGACCTGCGGTGGCCTCTGACCTGTGGTGCCCTCTGACCTGCGGTGCCCTCTGACCTGCGGTGCCCTCTGACCTGCCGTCTCTCCCCAGGAGCTGCTGCTGTTCCTGCAGAACCTGCCCACGGCCCGCTGGGGCGACGAGGAGGTCAGCCTGCTGCTGGCCGAGGCCTACCGCCTGAAGTTCGCCTTCGCCGACGCCCCCAATCACTACAAGAAGTGAGGGGTCC